TTCTGCCGCCAGGGCACCTAATTGCCCTTTAATTCGGCGATTAGCGGCTGTTTGCTCAGGGCTTGTGTGCCTGGGCGCTCCCCTATAATGCAGTTATGGAGACTTCATCTCCGTATCCCTGTTTGCCGGAGTTGCCCTTTCCCTGCACATCAGGACCTTCTGCGTGCTGCGGATGGCGTCGGGACGGAGAAACTGAGGCACGGAGCTGCACGGTGGCCCAGCCGGTAATGACAAGGCATTTGTATGGGCAAATGAGCGGCCCCGTGCCTGTGCGGGGATGTAAATCCCATCCAGCCCTGCTATTAGCATACCGCATACCCCCCGGGAGCCCCCCGCTGCCGCCTGGAAATGCGCTGTGTTGAATATTTATACAGAGCCGTGTGACACAGCATAGGGCAGCGGGGAGGGGGGAGCCAGGGAGGGGGGGCGCGGGGTGAAGCCTGCAGTGGGGCTGGGGGCTGGACGGGACCCCAGAGCACCTCGTGAGAGGGGCAAAATGAGGCGTCCTAGAGGATAACGGTGGGGTGCTGTAGGAAACAGGCAGGAAGCTTTAGGGGAGCGGGGTGGTATGGGATGTTTTAAGGGAGCGTAAGGGAATGACGTGGGATGCTTTGTGAGATAATATACACAAGGATTAACGTGGGATGCTTTAGGGGAGTGTGCTGGGATGCTTAGGGGATAAGACTGGAAAGTTGTGGAGATGATGTGATGCTTTAGGGAAGCATAGTGGGGTGTTTAAGGGATCACACGGGGTGCATTAGGGATACTTCAGGGGATAACACTGACGTACTGCAGAGTTGATGTGGGGAGTGCACTGGGGTGTTTTAGATGGTGACACTGAGGTGTTTCAGGAGATGGTGCCAGGATGCTTTAGGGTATGATGTCAGAATGTTTTTGCAGAGCAAACCGGTCTGCTTTTGGTGGTGATGCTGGGATGCTTTAGGAGTGACGGGGCTATGTTTCAGAGTGTGATGCCAGGAAGCTCTATAAGCAACTGGACTACCTTTGCTGAGCACACTGGGAGGTTTGAGGGGGATGCACTGGGATTCTTTAGGGGAAGGCACTGAGGTGGGAATTATGCTGGATGCGCTGAGGGATGATACTGGGATGCTTCAGGAGAAAACACTGGGATGTTTTAGAGGAGGATGGTCAGGCGCTGTAAGGAATGGTAGCAGGATGCTTGCAGTGGGCATGCTGGGATGCTTTGTGGGATGGCACTGGGATGCTCAGTGGGAAGATGCCAGCATGCCTTAGAGGAACGGCGTCAGGCTGCCCTCTGTGTGCCCGGCAGGTGCAGGAGGCGGTGGGCGTCCCAGCCCGCCTCATTACCGCTGCCTTTGGGAAGCGGGAGCCCATGTGTTCTCGAGATGAGCAGTTGGGGTATATTAACATCCCATTTCCAGCTCTTTAATACAGAGTTAGCCCAGCTCATTCATCAGCCCGGCCTCCCTTCAGGCCGGGGGCTGCAGGCAGGGCTCAGCAGCTGGGGCACGGCGAGCAGCGGGGCCACGCGTCCCCGAAGCCGGGTAACAGGTAGTGGCTCATGTGCGAAGCGCTGCTTTGGGGCTGGCGCATCATTGGGAAGGGCGCTATCAAAGCTGTGCTTAATTGGGTGGAAGGGTTGTTTGCATGACCACTAATGGGGGATCAGAGGGCCGGGGACCGATCGCTGACGGCCATACAAAGGCAACCAATTACTTGCTTGTCTGCATTATGTATTAACCCATCTGGGGCTGGGATATTGGCTTTGAAAGAGAGACAAAGGCGGAGGCGTGGCAGCCCGCCCGCTCCCCATCCGCCCGCCCGGGCCCTTTGTGCAGGGGGCAGCTGGGTGCTCCCCGCCACCGCCCCCGGGGACGCAGCCCCGAAGGACGCCCCGACGGCCGGGCGCCGCCTGGCTCTGCGACCTCCTGAATATTGCATCGGCACCGCAGGCATCCCGCGCCTTTCATCTCCTTTCATCAGCCTCTGCTCTTTGCCGCACGCCGAGGAAGCCCGCGCCAGCTTCTGCTTTAATTGGCATCGGCCTCTGTCGCTGTTCATAAGTGTATACTTCTTTTCATTTACAACGGGAGGTTAATTATGATCGGGTCACTACATTGCAGTAAGCACAAGTCAGGGGATATCTGACGGCTCGCTTGGCTTCTGGCTCATTTCTCATCGCGGCGATTGGGTTTGAAGGCGGGCAGAGCAGGGCTGCCCCGATCCGCGCGTCCCCAGGGCTGCGCGCAGCGCTTAAGGATGGGCACCACTCGTGGCAGCTGTGACCATCTGCACCAGCACGCAGACAGAGGCACCCCCGGGAGCCCCACACGAGACTCTTCCCCCTGTTCGACAGACCAACGGCCCGTTTTGCTGTCATTGGTGTCATTTGGTCTCTGCTGACAGCAGTGCCACACTGTGAGGACGCCTTCGCAGTGGCATTTCAAACCCTGCATCCATACTTAATTAAATGAATCGCAATTAATCCCCACTATCGCGTGCCAGCAGCAGTGGTGGCTGACTCGGTGTGACACAAATGGCAGCGCCAGGCCCAGTTCACATCTCACTGCCGCTCAGCAGAGGGTGGCACAGGGCTGAGTTTTTTGGTATTTTCCTGCTTCTCCTCATTTAACAGAGCTTCCAATGCAAAGGGAATGATGAGAAGATGGAGGCCTCTGAGTAAGCAATCTTTGATTCAGTGGGGAGAGGGAACCGATGCCAATTAACACACTCTGAGACACTCTTTGGGGATGCAGTGTCTCACTTACACATGCCTTTAACACGGAGGATGCCCCAGTTTCACCTGTACCAGCGTGTCTGGGAGGAAAGCAGAGATCTGAGGGTGGGCACAACTTGCTGCAGGAATGTCTTTTGACAGGGAGAGGAGGGGGCGAGCCTGGGGTCGGGTCTCATTTGCAAATGGTCAAATAACTCTAATGGGGATGCGGGGTTGCATTGCAATCAGCTGCTCTGGAGGAATAATGAATTTTTCAATATGTAATTAACCGTTAACCTCATTTGCATCCCTTCCCTCCGCCCGATCCCCTGCATTGTGGAGTGGTGCTCTAATTGCGTTCTGATGAGCTCTGCGGCTCTGCAGGGAGAAGGGACAGTGCTGGGGACACCTTTGGCCTTGGGGACACCCAGCATTGAGGATGTGCAGCTGAGCCTCTTGGGGCATCCAGCCCTGGGTACATTTTGGGAACAAACCTGCAGGAGCGGTGATGGGTGCAGCAGCTTTTTGGGGACACAGCAGCAGTGGAGGCATCCCTTTAGGGAACCAACTCTGGGGCACATTGGCAGGGATTGCAGGGCCTAGGGACACGGCTCTGGGGACACACAGCAAGGCTGGCAGTGAGACATGCTAGTAAGGTTTAGGTGGGTGCATCACTTAGGGAACCTACCGGCAAGTGGGCTGACAATGGCTGAACACCTCTGTGGACGAGTCGTGGGCTTGGCAGCAGGTACACCCCTTTGGGACGCAGTGACAGGGGATGCAACCCTCTGGGGATGCGTCACAGTAAGTGGCAATGGGTGCAGTGACGATGAGTGCCACAGGGCTGACAGCGTGTGCACCCCTTTGAGGACACACCAGCAGTGAGTGCATTCCTTCTGGGGACACGGTGACAGTGGGTGCACCTCACTGGGGATGTGTCACAGGACTGGCAGTGGGCGCACCCTTCTGGGGACATGTCCTGGTGTTGGTAGGAGGTGCACCCCGATGGGGACACCCAGGATACCCCCACGGCCCCGCTCCCCTGGCCACTCACAAAGAACCCACAGCTTTGTACCCCCCCCCCCCCCCCCCCGGGGGGGGGGTTAATATATTCCAGCGCCTGCAGCTCATGAAATGTGTAACGTCGCAGCCGCGGTAATCCCAGTAATTAGAATGGGATAATTACGGCTCTGATTGCTCCCGGGCCGCTCCCCGCCAGATGTGCTGCAGCCCCCCTCGCCTCGCCCGGTGCCACGCATGGGTTTGTTTAACCAACACGGCGCTAATTAACGCATTTTGCTGCACGGGGGGGAGGGATGGGATGAGCAGCACTCACCCTTAGGGACCCCCAGCGGTCCCCAGCAGCGGCTCGAGGGGGTCCCTGCTCCCCTTCGTTACTGCCCCGCGCTCATCAATCACAGCCCGTGGTGCCCCTCTGCTCAAAGCCCATTTAATTGGGATCGTGGTGGGGGGACAGCTGTGGCACACACGGGGCAGCCTTTGTGCTGTGCTCCGTCTTTAGACTGGGGGTTCTTACACTGGTCCTTTTATTGGAGGGTGCTTGGTCCTTCTATTGACGGTCCTTACACTGGTCCTTACACTGGGAGTGCTCAGTCTGTGTCTGGGGGATGCTCAGCTCTGCTGTTTGGAGGTGCTCAGCCCCTGTGCTGAGGGATGCTCAGTCCTGCTCTTATGAGGGTGTTCTGTGTCAGTGTTTGAGAGTGCTCAGTCCTGATGCTGGGGTACGCTCAGCCCCAAATTTGGAGGAATGCTCAGTGGCTGGGGATGTGCTCAGTGCGGATTTCGGGGGATTCTCAGTCCTGAGTCTCGGGGTTCCTTGGACTCGATGCTGAGTAGATGCTCAGCCCCAGACTTTGGGGGATGCTCAGCCCCGATGTTGGGGGACATTCAGCTCATGCGCACAAAGGCAGACAAGGGCCGTCTGCCTTTTTTACAAGGCGATTCTGCGGTCTCACCCCTGCGGGGAGACCCACCGCTACCCGGCACCCCAGCGCTGACCCGCCCCTCAGGCCACCCCCACCTCAAGCACCGCCTCCTTCGGGATAGCAGCAAATTAACCACGCCCACGAAACACGGCCACGCCCACAATCGAGAAAGCCCCGCCCCGCCAGCCAAGGCCACGCCTCCGACGGCCACGCCCCGCGCCTCCCGTTGACCACGCCCACCTCCGACCACGCCCCCGCTCGTCCCGCGCCCCATCCCGCTCTTCTCGCCACTACCGGAAGTCCCACCCACGGCGAACGGCGCGTCACTTCCGCCTGCTCGGTCCGGCAGCTCCAATATGGCGGCGTCCTGCGGCTCCTCGCAGCTCCCCGCCGCCGAGCCGCCCCTCAAGATCCCCAAGATGGAGGTGCTGTCGCCTGGCTCGCCGGGCGCGCTGAGCGACGGCAACCCCAGCCTCTCCGACCCGTCCACCCCCAGCGGCGCCTCCCCGCTGGGCCCGGGGCCGGCAACCGGCGGGGCCGGGCTGGGGGGCGGCGGGGCGGCGGGGGGCCGCGGCGGAGCCTCGCCCTCCGTCTCGTTCTCCCCGGGCGGAGCCGCCGCCGCCGCCGCGGCCGCAGCGTGCCGGGGGATGTCCTGGACCCCGGCGGAGACCAACGCGCTGATCGCCGTGTGGGGCAACGAGCGGCTGGTGGAGGCCCGCTACCAGCAGCTGGAGGGCGCCGGCACCGTGTTCGGCAGCAAGGCCCCCGGGCCCGCCATGTACGAGCGGGTCTCCCGAGCATTGGCCGAGCTGGGCTACGAGCGCACCCCCTCGCAGTGCCGGGAGCGCATCAAGGTACCCCTGGCCCCGCGCGTGGAGGGCCCGGGGGTGGGGGGTCGAGCTTGGGATGGGCCGCGGCCTCCTTCGGCTGTGGGCCTGGTGCTGGATCCCCTGGCTCAGGTGACACCTGTGGGTCCTCGTGCACAGGCAGTGTCCTATGGCACCGTGGCCCGGGAGGGATTTTGACCCAGCCTCTGATGCCCTCCAGCATCGTTGCAGCTGTGTAGTGGGAAGGGACCTCCTGTTGTTCTGTGATGGAGCATTGCTCCTGGGGTCCCCTTGCTCCTGGGGTCCCCTTGCTCCTGGGGTCCCCTTGCTCCTGGGGCCCTTCATGGCTGTGGAGTAGCCTCGTGGCTATGGTGTTTCCCCTGGGTTGCCTGCTTTAATTACGGGGCTGTGTTAAATGGCACAGCCAGCCGGCTTCTGTGGTGCTGGATTTTAAAGAGTTGGCTCTCTACTTGTGTCATTCCTTGGGGAGAAGGGAAAGCCAGGGCTCAGGCAGGGAGCAGCAGTCCACATGCCGCCCTCATACAGAGGGAGCTGTGGACTAGGACTGGTGGGATGTGAGGAACCTGTGGTCCATAGGAGCTGCTGCAGGCTTCAGGCTGTAAATATGAATAAAGTGCAGAAGGTAGAATTAAATGCTGAGGTCCCTTAAGGCTTGCTTCCCCTTTCATGACCCATTTGATTTCCAGTGCAGTTGCTTAAGATGTTGATCAATTAGAAAGGAACATTTTGTTAGTTCTTGATATCGCCGGTGTTGTTGGATTCTCTTTGCCCTGTTCTGTTCATCATCCAGACCTTTGATTTGCAAAATGCATGAAACAAGGAACTGGGCACTTCTGCAGTATTGATAGAGACTGGTGGCAGTATGTCTGGTGGGCAGCTCTGTGTTACTGAGCATCCCGTGAGATGCTCAGGAGCAAATGAGCAGGAGCTTTGCCCTGCAGTGTCTGATTAGCATTTGTCTTTGGAAAAACTGTTGAAGTGAAGCAAAACTCTTTCTTATAAACATTTTGCTTTCTGAATGTATGTTCTTATGTCATCTCTTTGACTTCTTGTATCTCTCTGCTTGGGGATTTATTTTCCTGAATGCATCAGAACATTTGGGAGGGAAACGTTGCTTTGAAGCAGGCACTTCATGCACTGCAAAAATTCTCCAAGTCTCTTGTTTTTGAGCAACATCCAGCTTCAATCAGTCCTTCCACAAATCTGGGACACTTGGAGTTTTGCTAGTGTTGAAAAAGCTCCAAGGGCAGTTTTCCTTGTCTACACAGCCCTACTGTTTCTGGTTGTTGGGGGAGTTCCTGCTGCTGTTGTTAAGGGCTGCTGCCTCGGCTGTGGCTGGAACTGTACAAGGAATTGCCTCACCGAGTGCAGAGCAGTTTGTAAGGAGAATATTTGTCCCAGAGCTGACCTGGCTGGGCCGTGTGTGTGGAGGGCTCTGGTTGGGGTGGGAAAGCGCCCTCTGGAATGTCTGTTTCCCAGCAGCTCGTGGTGCTGTTACCAGAGACACTTCTTCTTGTCTGTTGAGAAGCGCTTTGGCAGCAGTCTTTTGTCAGTGACATTTGTAAGTTGCAAAGAAACTATGAATTGTGTTTTTATATGTAGGTTTAGAGGGAAGGAAGGACTCTGAGGCTCACTGCACTGCAATAGCTTCAAGAGCAGCTCCTGAAGGACCTCTTAGACATTTCCCTACAGATGTTTCTAGCCAACACGCAGCTCGACTGCACGGACTCTTCTTAAGTGAAGTCCACAGAGGGCGCCGGGTCGGAGGCTCGATGAGGAGCGGTTCCCGCCGCCGTCCTCCGCACGCCGCTGGTTCCCGCTGCCGCCTCGGCGCCTCGCCCGGTTGCCGGCATCCCGCGCGGGTTCCGCCCTGCGCCTGGCCCCGGGCCGCGCTGCTGTCCAAGGTCCTGCACGGCCCCCGTGCTCCGCCGTGGGGGTCTTCGTCGCTGCGCTCTCGGGAGATTCGGACGTGTCAGCATGGCAGAGCTTTTCACGATCCTTGGGCTTTTCAAGAAAAACGGGCCCTCGTTGAAAAGCTCCATTTTTGATAGAGCCAAAGGTTGAGTTTGCTACAGGAGTTATTGAAATAGTTGCATTACAATTGGACAATTGTCTGCTTGGCTCTTTCTTGCTCAGCTGAGGGTGAAGATCACTTTGAACACAGAGAGGTTGATGTTTGACTTTCATTTTAAGATGGAGCAGGAAGGCTTGGGCTTGCTGTTGGAACAAGGGCGGTTCACAGACTCTTCGTAGTCTTATGCTATCCGTTGTCAGAGCTAAAAGCAGAGCTGAAGCAATGGTGATGGATGAGTGCTTTGCTTCACCATTCCACTAGCCTGCTGTCCCCCATTTCCATGATTTTATAGGATAGTTGGACTTAACGTCCCTCAAGGGACGGTGCTGTAAGGATTTGCTGATTGATTATGAATGTAAATCGTGCTTAAAATGTGTCAAATTCAACTTTGTTTATAAATACATTGTAGGTTAGACCTCAGTATTGGCTTTCAGGGCACCCGAATTTCCCGTGCTCTGCCAAATCTCGAGGAGTGTTAGAAATGAGATAGAGAGGAAAAAGTCAGCTCTGCAGAACAAAGTTTTCCAGCTCTCCAGTTGTATTGCATGTATGTATGCATTCTCTCCTAATTCAAACTGGATGTAAAGCAAGGTCCCAGTTCACATTTTGTCTGTCTTCTAACATCTGCATGTGCTTTTCTGCACATAAGCGGTGCTGGCCTGCAGTCTGCAAATGAGACCATTGCTTGGATCTGCACTCCAGAGTGCCTGTTTCAAATTCAGGGGGTCACACGTAATAATTCCAGCAAGTACTCCTAGCTTATTGCTGCGTGAGAGCCTGGCTTCTTGACTTTGATGCCTGGGAACCAGCTAGCTCAGGGATTGGGAGCTGCGGGAGTGTTTTGATTTCTGCCTGGTGGGTCCTCAGAAGCCATCCTGTGCCTCAGAGTTCCCTCATCCTGGCATACCAAGCTGTGTCCTGAATCTCTGCTGGCACAGTAGTGCGCTCTGACCATTCCTGCAGTTGTGATCTCACAGCTCTTGTTAAAGAATTGTTTACTGAAGCACATGTACTTTTCTTCCAGCCCTGCTCTTCTTTGCTAAGTGTGATCGCCATCCAAGTTTGGAGAATTAGCCTGGCTCAGCAGTTTGTGCATCCCCAAACCAGTCCCCTCTGTGCAGCATTGTGGAGCATTCAGCTATTTGTTTTGACCTCAGAACTATTATTTGAGGCAGAGGATGAGATATTTTGCAAAACCCTTTCCAGATTTGAATGCAGTCACTTCTATTTTGTGCCCTTCACCAGGCTTATCGTCGCTTCAGAGCAGGAGGTGAGCTGCTAACGAGTGGCAGAGTCACAATCACAGAAAAATGAGTATCACCTCGTGCTGTGACGTTCCATACGAAGGCCAAAAAAAGCTGGTGCATCCAGTATGTAGGCTTTGTTATTGCTTCAGACGAGGCAGTGAGCTTGAACATCACTGTTTCATGCTCTTCCAACCTCTGAACATGTCATTCGCAAGCTCTGCTCCTGGTGAGGCCCGTTGCCCTTGTGCTTGTTTTCTGCACGCAGTGACCTGCTGCTCACCTGGGCAGGAGGTGGAAAGTGTCTGCTGGGTTGTGATTGTCCACAGAATGTGTGATTTACTTTGCAAAGTGAAAAAAAGCACCTTGAAGACAGCAGTTACGTGCTTTCACACGGGGAATGCAGGCACAAAGGGGAGAAGTGGTGCTGCTAACATGAAACAGGGTGGAATGAGGAATTATGCTTGGATGTCAGCTGTTCGTGTTCTCTTGCTTTAAGCTATATGTAAGATGATGATGACAGGGTTTACTTTCAATGTGGCTGTGTTTTTTGCTGCTTTATGATGTAAACAATCTCTTTTTAAATCTTTGTAGCGCGAAGTCGTGTTGAAAGAAGGAAGCGCTGCACTGGCTGTCTCTGATGGGACTCCTGCAGCAATGCAGTGTGACCTTCTGTGTGCTCCAGGAGATTGAATTTCTCCCAGAATTTCATCACTGGGTTCAATAACCTTAAGCAGAGTGGCTCTCTTTTCAAAGGATTTCCAAGGATGGAGTTATCAGTCTCTTTACCAGCAGCTTATCACCTTCAGAACAGCTTTGCCTTCCATTTTTTAATGTATTTTCCCTTGTCTTCTGTTACTCAGGCCGAGATCCTTGTCCCTGTGGCTCCACCCTCTGCGATGTGCACAGGCAGTGTTCAAGTTACCTCTTGATCTTTCTTCGTCTTAAGTAGGTTCAGATGCCTCTAGTTTTCCAGGCTGGGTCACTTTGCAGTTCCTGTCCTGAATGCTCTCCAAGAACTCACTCCTCGCTGGAGAACCTCACGGGCCCCAGTAGGTGGGAGCAACTTTCTGTTGACATTCGTAAACTGGACAATATGAATCTGTTCTTTGTCACTGAAGAGTTTACTTGCTTTACTGCTTCTTGGACATACCATGAGACTGCCGTGGAGGAGCATCTCTGGAAGATTTGAGCATCACGTGCAATGAATGCTCTCGCACAGCAGCTGTGTCTGCTCTGTGTGTGCGCCACTTGCTGGAGTGCTGTTCAGGGAGGCAGGTTGGCACCCCAGGCCAGAATTTCCCATTTTCTGGGGAGCAGCTCTGCCAGAAGCACTTTGGTGGAGGCTCTGGCATGCAGGTGTGCCCTGAGATTCCCCTCCCAGAGAAACAAAGTTAGCTGTCTGCTTCTACTGCAGAGGTCGGGGCTAAAAGCAGCTCACTCTGGCATGTCTTTGAGCAGGCAGCAAGTCACAGTTGTGAATGTTAAATCTTAGTTTGGGAACACATTATTTGTGCCTCTCAGGAGGGGAACCACTTAGGACCCAGATCTTAAAGTCCTCCCAGTTTTTAATACGTGCCCCTAGGCTGTACACACAGTGGGCTGCAATTGTGGACATCTCATTGGCAGTTATACTGCAGAAACTGCATTGACGTCAGAAGAGAGTCCCAGTGGCAATGATGCAGTTGCTAGATGGTTGATTTTGGATTTTGTTTATTCTAGAAGTAACTGAATGCACCTGAAATGTTCAACAGAATGAAGCTGGTGTGAAAGCACAGAGCTTTAAGTGCCTGTGTGGGTGCAGATTGACTTCCACTACTGTTCCAGATTCTGCTGCATCCTGCTAAATCTGTCAATCTGGAGGCTAAGGAGATGATGCTTTCTGGACTGCTGTGGGTCCCACAGTTACTAACTTTTGTTTTGGTCATTGTTTCTGGTGAAAACTGGAGTTAAGACAGCTTTTGGTATTTTTCTTACAGCTTTTCCTATTGGTCTAGATTTAGATGTTGCTTTCTATTGATAACGATTTCTCTGTGCAGCTAAATCACAAAGGCTGAGGTTGGACTCGCCTGGCATGGACCTTTCTTTGGAGACCACAGCCTCAGGACGGGCGTTTGCATGCTTCTAGGATCGTGTGTAAAGCTCCCAGCTTTCAGAACTATGTGAGTAGTAACCCATGGGGTGCCACCCGTGTTGATGCTTTCTGCCTCCCATCTGGAGCTTATTCTGGAGCAGAGCATTTTCCCTACCACCTGCAAGAGGGTTTGTGCTGCTCTTAGTCTGTGGCCCTGCTCTGCCTGCTCATTTGAGACCTGGAACCAACAGGGGTAGGCCTGTGTGGTCCCTTTGGCTTGCCAAATAGCTGGTGTCTAACCTATCAAGTACTTCTTGGATTTCTTTGGTACAGACTGCTGTACTTAGGGTTATCTTTGGCCACCAGGCTTCATGGGTGGCGTGGAGATGCTTGTCCCATTCACAGTGTTTGTGTGAAAACTCATGTTTAATTTTAAGGAATGGGTGTGTTTCTAAAGGCAGGACAATCTACTGAACATGGCTTTCATTGCTTTGGGGTAAGTAGTGAATAGAGTTTTTGGAACAGTAGTGAGAGTAGTTTTGGGTAGTGTAGGAAAGAACAGCTTTACTGACCAAAATGGTGTGTGGGACTATTATTGGATGTCCTAGCCCTTAAGAGCTCTGCTGTTAGCTCTTGATGGAAAGAATGGAAGCCCTTAGTACTGGTTGAATATCAGTGAAATTCTTCCAGGTCCCAGATGTGCTTTGGAAGTGGAATTCATCCTCTGTCAGACTGTAGCATAGCCTCCATGTGGTCCCTGGTGTAAAGCCCACAGTTTATCTTCTTTCTCTCAGTCTCTGGCAAAGTCCTGCAGTCCCGGGTTAATGGGCTCCATGAGATCCTGCTGTTGCAATAGGGTTTTTGTCTTGAAACTTGAGGGATTTCTGCCCCCAAACCTCTCCTTTTTAGTTAGTAAAATTGGACAGCTTGATGTCTGCTGCAGTGGTTCAGAGAGCTAGCAGGAGCCATGTATCCTTGGTGTAGGGGTATAGAAATACGTTTATAGTCATCTAGGCTGGCCTCTGCCATAGGGTTTGATGCCTCTGTAAATAATACCTGTCCAGGCTTAGTTTGTTTAGATGTGTTGAACTGTGGTTCAGAAACTGGCAGTGGTGAAAAATCCACTGCATTTTTTTGTTAGATTCTGGCTCTTAGAAGTAACCTGCCTTAAAAATGTGTGGCTTATGGTACTGCCTGAGCATCCCTTGTCTGTGTCTCACAGCATGACTTTGCTTCTTCAAGTCATCATCCAAAGAGATGCCTGGTTTCTGTCTCAGTTTGGTGACTGACTTCTCTACTTCCCTGACCACCTGTCTTCCCTTGAGGCATTGACATCACTTTCATTGTTTCATTTTGGAGTCCTCTGGTCTGGAGCCAGAACTTTCAGGAAATTTTTGGCATGGAGGCACATCAGGATGCAATTGAGGCTTTGTTCTTTGGTGTAAAAAATTAATTTGACTGCCGGTGTCTCTCTGAGTGCTGTGATCTGGCAGATGTGTGGCCATTTGCAGAGCTAGAGCCACTTCAGGCCGGTCAGCAGTAGGTTCTGCACGTCTGCAGAGTGTTAAGGATGGATTTGCTCATGTTCTGTGGAGCAGTGGCAGACTTGGTTTCTCGAGCACTAAGTCATCAGCTGCCTTTCTGCTGTGTGGTATGGCTCTCTTTAGAGTTCAAGCTGTGCTTTCTTCCCTTTTTATTGTGAGAACTGATGCTTCAGTTCAGAAGTACAGAAATAGGGCTTCTGGTGGTGATATTCTTATTTAGACCTGATGTTCTCCTGCCTTTCACACATTTTTTTAACCTGGAAGTTCATGAGCCTGTGTGTAGAGCAGAGGATTCGACCACCTGTAGTCAGTTCTGTTTCCTTGTGCTCCAGCCAGTGTGGGAATGCAGGTTTCAGGAGCTTTCATGGCTCCAGTCATCCCTACGTGCTGTAAAACCACCCTAGACTTCACAAGCCATTTCTTTTGTCCCGCTATGGTTTCATCTTTTGTTACTCGTGAGTATCCTGGCGTGACGAGGCAGGTAGCCTCTGGATACTGCCTTCCTCACTTCAGCTTCCTCACTTCATAGACCCGAGGACTCCTCCCTTCCATTAAGAGTTGAGTGGTGCTGAGTGCTGTCCTGTGTCACTGGACCTGGTCGAGGCCAGCAGCCAGCGTTTGATAGGGTGTCATGGAAAGGTAATTGTGACACTAGATGTGGGCAGGCATGGAGATCACAGCACTGCTGGGTGGAGGCTGTGCCATCTAGCTGAGAGCACACAGAATCTGCCAGGTTGGAAAAACTTTCAAGATCACCGAGTCCAACCCAGCCCACCCCACCAGCAGCCACTGAGCATCTCTCAGTGCCACATCCCCGTGGTCTGGAGCACCTCCAGGATGGTGGCAGCACCGCTTTCCTGGGCAGCTGGTGCCTGTGAATCACTGCTCCTTTGGAGAATGAATTTTTCCTGATATCCAACCTGAAGCACACCTGACCATTCCAAATCTTCTCAATGCTTCCAAAGGTGTTCTTGTTGAAGTTTTGCCAACTAAACTTATCTGTACCCCCGGGCATAGAAATGAATTTGTCTGCAGTGAGTAGTGACACTTCTCATGGATGGGTTCTTGATTCTGGGATTCCACAGCTGGTTGTTTTCTACCCCAATTGCAGCAGAGGTGTTGGAAATGTAAAAATTTGCTGGTCCAAGGAGGATCTGCCTGTTTTCTCCTGAGAGGCAGCAAAGACAGAATCAGGAGAGGGTGGTGCTGCCCAGCTGAGAATCCCCGATCGCTTTCCCAGAGCTGCTGATAGAAAGTGGTGCTTATTGCTGCCTGTGGGCTCATTGGGCTTTTGCTGTGTGTTGGTTTTTTGGTTTTGAAACAGCAGAGTAAAACTGACTTGCTGCTTAGCAGCTTTGCTGCTGCTCCCAGGGCTCTGAATATCACGAGGAGACGGGCTAGGAGTGTATTCCTCTCCTGATGCTGTTGAACAAGGTGTTTGAGGAGCATTGGTTGCATTGGAGCTTTCTGTAGATGTGAAGTTCCTTTTGGGGGAAAACCAACCATTTTATGCAATGATGTGTATTTGCTTGTTGCTTAAGAGCTGTAGTCCTTCTTCAGAAAACAGGATGACCAAACTATTCCCGAATTAATGCCTCTTTGGAGCTCTGGAGGTGGCTTAGATTGCCATTCTGTGTAGCATCTGAACAATCTAATGAATGTTGTGTGAGAAAATGTGTTCTACAAATCTATCAGTCTGCAAATTGCTGAGATTTGCAAGATAAAGTTGGAGCATGATGCTATCTTTTAAAAGCAGAGTGGTGGTTGAATTAAAAACACATTGAGAGATGCACACAAAGGTTCTTCCCCACCCAAATATCTGCCTGGATCTGGACTAGGGGGGAACTGTACAAGTCTATGAGTTTTGTCTGCAGCTTTGCCTTTCTGTCAGGCAGTGGGTGTTATGTGTAGCTGCCAGCTTGGCCAGTAGCACAGGATGGTAGAGATCACCAAAACCAGGTTGGGTTTTTGGATTTGTCATTTTTGGAGGCTTCAACCTTAGCGCTGAAAGCTGTCGTAGTGAATTACTAGCCAGAGCCTTCTGAGTTATGTTTCTTTCTTAATGATTGATATCAAAGTCTGGGAATGTGGAGCATTATTGATTTGACCTCTTTTAAATTTCAGCAGCTTCACAAGAGGCAGAGTGAGTTAGTAAGGAATGCAAAATATGTAAGTAATATATATTTTATTAGCTGAATAGCTTAGGCATACATTTTGTACCTTGTGTCTTCTTACCACAGTAAGGAAGGTTGGACTGTCTGTGCTTCTGGGGACTTCTTTCTTTCTTCCTTTCCATCTCCTCCCTGCTTCACCTTCCTCAGGCTGTGGGCACGACGCCGGCTCTGCTTTCCCCCTCTTGTAGTCGGTGTGCATTTTCTTGGCTGATTGGTATCTCTGACTGGGGATCTGTTGTTTATTTTCCCTGTGTTACGTGGCAGATCTGGGGGGGTTTGAAGTGGGGAGGAGAATAAATGAATCAATTGCCCAAGTTAAATCAATGAACCTGTAGCTGCTGTACAACTCTGTTCTGTGTTGTAGATGTTAAAGCTAAAACCTGCATCAGGAGCATCAGGTACATAATGATGCTTCCTGCCAGGTGCAGATTAACTTGACAGCCTTGCATTTAGCTCATGAGCGTGTGGCAAGTACTGATCAGCAGAAGTAAAATTCTAAACTCTGCCTGGCAGTCGTGTAACTGTCTGCTATGTGTGCACTGCTGAAGCAGCACCTTTGGGTGAGTAACATGCAGCTTTCTGTCTCAGACCCTCCGCAGGTGTTACAGCCGTGTGAAGGAGCATGGTGTTGGGAAGAGGAAAAGCAGCTACACGTTTGAACAGCTGGAGCAGGTGTTTGGCCAGGGAGGATGGGATTCCCAGCCCTGCCAGCCTGTCCTCATCAACAGCAGTGGCTTGTACCAGGAGCTGGAGTCGGATGGCAGCACCATGGAGGAGTACTCACAGGAGGACTGGGGAAACCACAGTCAGGATCTTCATTGCTACCAGACTGGTGAGCAGGAATTAGGTAAGGAGTCCTGTTAATGCTTCCCCACTCTCTGTGCTCTGTGTTCATACAGTCCCCCCTTTCATGTTTGGGACGTAATGTGCTCAAGTGCTAAACAACTGATGTCCATGGGGAGGAAAGGGAAATAACCATCAAAAGCAGACAGTGGTTCTTGGAGGCTGCTGGAGTATCAGGATCAGGGGAAAAGAAGGGTGATGTGGCCATAAACCTTGGCAAAGGAGGCAGTACGTTCCCTGGCTCCCTGTCCCTTCCACCCCCTGCTCAGTTTTTCTTCCCCCGATGGGATCAGGGAGGTGCTTCCCTGTCAGCAGTGCCCAGCTTTGAGGTCCTTGGATGCCAGCTACCACTCATCCACTGTTTACTTCCAGGCTGCTCCTATTCGTACCAATGACTGTTTTCTCCTTCTTCCCATACATCCTAACTGCTGTGTTTGCTTCAAGCACACGGATATGCTTGTATCCAGATGTGTGGTGTTCAGAGTGCTTTTCCTGCTTGAATTAGTAGTGTCAGCTTCAGTGCGTACAAATGAGCACATGAGCTAATTTGGAGATTTGGTTGTTGCCTGTGGCTGTTTCGCTTTGTCCAACGGAGGCAGCCACCGCATTCTCGATCAGCAATGCGAGCACACTGATCTGAGCTGTCGTGTCCAGCTGCAGTGAAGAAGTGGGTTTCTTCAAGTACATTTGTGTCTTGACCACTGTGCTACGACGTGAAGCATGGAGGAAAAGGAATTCTTTTCATGGAGGAAATGGAAGTTGATCAAATCCAGCAGTTAGAACACAAAGTGGGGAAAAGATGTTGATGTGGTTTTCCTTGTGATCTGCAGGCTGAAGTGGGGACAGGAAGGAGATGCAGTCACCTGTCGGCACGCATCTTTGTTCAGGGGACTGGGGGCGGTGAACGCTGTAAAAGAGTCTTAAATTGCAGTTTGATATTAAAGCAGCCAACTTGCAAATTAACCACATTCTGGTTCTCTCAGACTTCTTCCTCTGGGAGCTTAGAAGTCAGAAATATGTGGGAGAGAAATGGTGGGGAGACGGCGATGTTTCAAAACGTGTGTAAATGGCAGCGAATTCCATCTGGTTGTTCTGGTGACTCAAACTGTGGTCTCCTGGTTTGTGGCCGTTTTCCTTCAGTTGAATTACAGAGAGATTTGTGTGTGCTTGGGGTGGCAGCATTCCTGATGTTGAGAGAAGTTAAGAGAGAAGCGTTTGGCACATAAAATCTAAATGGAATACAGATGCATTTGTCCTGGTGCTTGCTGTTTAAATGTGCTATTGAAAGCAGAACAGTCTTTCTTTTTTTCCCTCAGTGTAGTTAGTAATTAAATTGACTTGTGATTTAATTGCAGGAATTATGCTCTTGTCCTTGAAAGGTTTTGCACTTGCAGAGGCAGGTACAGATCTTGTAACTGGCCACATCATTTCCTAAGGAAAACCAAAAACTCCACTTAATGTAGGAACTGGAGCTGCCCTGTGCATGTGGCAGGGCTTGGTGGGCTTAGGAAATAAGATGGATTGTAACTTCAGCCTTAAAAAAATAAGTAATATTCCTGCTGCCTTTTATTTTAAAAAATAACTGTGTTGGGTCTTACCTTTCAGATGAAATGCCTACCACAAAAAGAACATTAAAGATAAAACAGGAATCTTCAGAAGACGCTCAGTAAGTAATTTATGAATGCTTTACCCTGGAATGCATTTCCCTGGGGATGTTGTGCAGGAGGGAGGATGTTTGAAACTTCTGATTATAATTATAAATACATTGTGCAAGACTATTCATACACTTGAATCTGCTTTATGCATTATTCCAGTTACCTCAGAACGTTCGAAAAGCTTCACAGCTTTGTCCTTTCTGGGCTCCATCATACAGCCAGCAGAACAGCTCACCACTGAATGCGAGGACTGAACGTGTGGCTCGGATCCACCTCAGGGCTGTGTGTGGCAGGCTGTGGTTATCACGGGATGAGCCCAGGCTCTTGAGCTTTCTGAAATCTGTTTTTTCCATCTGCCTGAAGTTGCCTGAATTTTGCCCATTTGGGTACAAGGAAAAACAATAAGTTTTGGTTTTTTTTTTAAAGAGCAGTAATTATGTTGTGGTGTATATTTTCCACTACACCAGTGGCAGGACCTGCATGCCCAGGTGGTGCTGACCAGATATTTGCAATGGATCATAAGTGGAGGAAAGCGAGTGAGAAGTGAGGCTCCCCCAGTAGCAGTGCGTGCTGTTGACTTGGCTCGTGTGAGTACTGCTCACATTAAAAGTTCGTGCATTTCCCCTCCTTGGTGGAAAGCATGCCAAAGTTTGTGATTTCTTTTATTTTCATAACTTTCCAGAGCTGACTTGTAACCTTTTGGATTGGTTTAATCTGACAAAGACTGAAGCATTTAAAATGTTTTAAGCATGTGAATCTCCGTTGCCTCGCCAACAATAACACAGAGTGTTTCACAAAATGCCACGGTCCTGCAGAGCAGGGCTGCTTTCTTCCAGCCTCTTGGGTTTCAAACCCTGTAGGGTGAGTGTAGCTCTGTCTGTAGTGGGATGAGCTGTCTCAAATCCACCTGCAGGCCCCTCGGGGGGGACATGTGGGCATGGTGTCCTGCACCACTTCTCCCCATGGCTTAGTGAGCTGGCTGAAGTCAGTATGGCGTTTCTTAGGCTGCAAAGTGAGTTTGTGTAGGACAGTAATTCATCAGTGCTGTACAGGTTTATGTAGTGTCTCTGGTTAGCAGCAGAGGCTTTTTACTGGAAGTAAAGGATTTTTAAAAATTCCACATATGTATGTAGTTATTTTTAATGAAAAGCCTGCATTGTGATGGCTTAGCTTCATCAAAGTCCTCAGTGGATTTTCCAGGGTTAAGCTGTTTTGATGGTGATTTTTGTCTTCATATGAACTGAATTCAGGGTAGCATCTCAGGGATGGGCATGAAGGAAAACACTTGTTTTTCAGCATAAACATCATCACCTCTTTGAACAGCTCGTTAGGATGGCTGTGGGGTAATTCTACCTGCAAATTCTACCTTCAAGGCCTGCCTTAGGGAGTTGCACAGAAAAGAATTCTGAATGCTCTGAGGCCGAAGCTCAGAGAAGCTCATGTTGTGTGAAGACTGCCTGAGCTTTCTCTGCCAGCTTGTTGTGCAGGTGCATGGCTGGAGCTCAGACTGCTCAGAGCTGGGGTTTCTTTTCTGCCCCCGAAGCTCTCTCTAAAATGCATGGAGGCCTCTGAACTCCTAGGCATGTTGTGAAGCGTGTGGTTGATAAGCCAGTCGGTGCTCAGTGAGAGCACAAAGTGACTTCCAACACAGAAATTTGCTGAAAATGCCTTTTTTTTTTTTTCTCTGCTATGAGGAATGAGGAACTTTTAAACTCTGAAGTCTTTTAAAGTTGAAAGAAACTTGAAAATTCTGCCTTTTTACTACATCAAGCAATGGGAAGCAAAGAATTAAAGAAGAGTTCTCCCTGCCTTCTGCACTGTCAGGCTCTTCGTAGGAGGCGTCAAAGGCAGCTTTTCAGGTTGGGTTTTTGGAAAGTGGAGGATCCCTGCATGCTGCTGTGGCAGGGTTTGCTTTGTCCAGTTCATTGCCTCAGCAGTTGTCTTGGACATTGGATAAGGAAACCAGTGTTGAGTTTGGAATGATTACAGGCGGTCTGGAGAAGCCTTACTGGTACTGTAGATAAGCTGAGTGTTTATTTATCATCTGTTAAAAAAAAGAGTTGTCTAATTTTAAAAGCCATAGCAAATAATACCAAACAGATTCTTGTTTTTGGCCCATGTTTTAAAATGCATGTAGCTTATTGCAAAGAAAGCAAACCTTCAGTTCATCTGCTTTCTTCTGCACGTGGAAGTTTGAAGCAGAAGTGATCTCAGTGAAATGGGGGGTGATGATGCGTTCAACCTGTGCCAAGTGCAGAATTTACGTGGCGGTGCTGCCTGACTGTAGGTGCACGCGATCCTGAAATGCTGCCCTTGCTTCCCCTGCTCTGGGAGGTCGGAAGGAATTGCTCTGCAGTGCCACCACCTCCGGGTTCCCAGCTGTGGTCCTGGGGCTGTGAAAACCGGCAGAGGTCTGGCAGGAGATGGTCCAACAGGAGCCCTCTGTGCTCCCAGGGGGGAACTGCAGAGCCGAGCAGAGCAACTTGCGGAGAAACATGGGAGATGGCTTTGTAAGAAACAAGGGAGGATTATTTTCCTGACAGGAGGGAAGAAGGTGGGAGCGCGACGCCGGCCGGGCTGTGCGCCTCGCGGTGCCTCGCAGCAGGTTGCAGGTTGCACGGCCTGTTGGCAGTGGCAGCTGCCTCCCGACTTCGGGTAGAAAACAGGCAGTCTGCGTGGTGTGAGGTGCACAGAGATCTCCTGTGTTTCGTGGGTTGCTTTATTCCCAGAGGTGTGGGAGGAAAGAGCTGGTAGGTGAGCTGCATCCTTGCCCTCTGCTCTGTCAGCTGGGCTGTCCCACACTGGCCGTGCTGGTGCATTTCCTTTGCTCTTCCCTCCAAGTAAATGTTTTGGAGAAGTGAAAACTGCTTCAGACTCTGTTCTACCATTTTAAATTTCAGAGGAGTGTGTTTTTTGACTGCAGGCTTTTTGAAGTTGAACTAGAAATGCTTGGGGAGTTAAATCCTTCACTGAAACCAGCTGTTTCGGTTTCTTTGAAGTCTGCTTTTGTTTGGAAACCGTGCCTTAGAACAAATTTGCACCAAGTCTCGAGTCTTTCCTCGTTTGAATTGCAAAAGCTTCTGAGGAGGAAGCGATGCATTGACCGGTGTGAGCCAGGCGCTGGGGGTCGCGGACCGACGATGTGGTAAAACGCAGCTCGAGGGCACCTTCTACAGTTGAGAAATGAGATAGCCCAGTGGCGTGCAGGGCTGAGCCAGGATGAGCTCTGCTTGCTCAGGTACCGTGTGTCTCCTTAAAGAGAGAAGTAGCAGCCTGGCTTTTGCTGTCTGTTGGTGTTTCCTCCTGCAGCCAGCAGAAAGAAGGGGCCAGCAGTGCGCCCTGCTGTGCTGGGGTTCTCCTCCTCTCTGCTCTGCCCTCAGGAGGCCACATGTGGAGCTCGGGTTCCCCAGTTCAAGAAAGACTGAGAGCTGCTTTTCTAACATCTTTTGTCCCTCCTCTTCCTCTGAAGCCCATGTCTCCTCTGATACGTGAAGCACTGCTGGGGATTCTCTAGTGAAATTATTCTTGTTCAGCAGTAGTTTGAATGACTAATTTTTATTTTTCTTTAGAGCTTCAGCTGTGTTTTGTGCTGAACTGAGCTTAGCAATGGTATTTATGGTGTAATTAATAAAGGTGTTGTTCTTTCTGTTGTTGTTCTTAGCTCTGTTCCTCTACTGTTGAATGAAAATCTACCCACACTGCATTCTGGCGTGTCTGGGTTTGGATGGGACCGTTTCCTTAAATTGCATTCAGCTTCCTCTTGAATGCAATGAATGCTGGTGAAACACAGGCTGCTGTCGCACAGCCCTGCGCTCAGCCGGCTGCTTCCCGTGTCACCTTATCCCTTTTGTCTCCAGAGGATGAACTTGCACTTCCAGATGTCTGAACTGCAAGTTTGAGATGAGTCTTGCTGTGAGGAGAGTGATTTCAGCCTGGGCTGCTCAGACCCAGCGTGTGGGGCTTCATGTGGATGTGCAGCACCTCCAAGAAGCAGTTTTCTGGGATGAGAGGCTGTGTAATTGAAGCCCTCCTGCACTGTTGAAAGGGTCTGTAGAACCCAAACCTTTTTTCTTTGCACTGTTACATCAGTGTAGTGCAAAATGGTGCTGCACTGCACGGCTGCTCGGGGAGGTGGTGGGGTCACCATCCCTGGGGGTTCCAGAACCGTGGGGATGTGGCACGGAGGGAGGTGGGCAGGGAGCACAGTGGGGTGAGTTGGACTCGGGGATCTTAGGGGGTCTTTTTCAGCCTCAATGATTCTGGGACCCTATGATTTTGATTCTGTGAACAGTAGAAGAAGGAACGTGCTTCTGTTCTACCTGGGGCAAAGAAGCAACTGAGTACCAGCCCCGTTCCTATTCCCTGCAGTCTGAGGGCTGCTGTCTGCTCTTGCTTAAGCACTTGCTCCATAACAAGTGGATACTTCTGACCTTACTGTCTCAGCAGCCCGTGCCCTAGCTGTTGGGAGCTGTTGTGGAAGGACAGTTCTAGGGAGGGTTGAGTGAGCAGCTTCCAAATCACAGTTCTTGGGCTGAGAGGTTTCTCAGATACCAACACAGCTGCACTGTCTTCCTACAGATTGGATTATAGGACAGTAACTCCTGAAATCAGTAGTTCTCTCCACTAACTGTGCCCTAAGTGTCTCATTCATCAGGAAGGAAGCTGTTCCAGCTTGCTTCAGTTGTATGCAAAAGCTCCCACCTGATTGCTTAGTGAAGTGTGAATGCCTGCAGTGCTGCTTGCCTCCCTGCTGCTGTCCTGTTACTGACAGCCAAAAGAGATCTTTGGAGATGCAGGAGCTTCTTTATTTCCCCTCTGGTGGGCTGCACACACAGCTGCTGGGTGCAGTACTCATTCTCAAACAAGAGGAGGATGGCTGTGTGCGGTTGGTTGGAAGCAGCAGCCCCAGGTCACAGGGAGAGTGGGAAAGCTGAAAAAAAATCCATGATGTTTTTTGGATTATGGAAGCACGAAAAAACCCCAAACAAAGTTCTGTGCTTTTTTCTGACTTTGCTTTAAAGCAAGGTGAAGGCAAATGCACTTGAACTTGTGCAAGGAAACAGCAGGCTAAGCTGAAGGAACGTGCAGCAAGGTGTCTCAGGGTGTGCACGTCTGTCAGTGACCGAGTGCTGCGTCCCTCTGACTTCGTGGTACATGGGAGCCCTTTGCTGCCATGGCCTTCCAGCAGCAGGGGCGCGAGCTGTGCGCAGCGCGGTGCAGGGGCTGGCAGCCGAACCTTCCTCAGAGCTGTGTGCAGGGCAGCTCTGGTTCTCCTCTCCAGGTTCTCTCCTGCAGATCTTGTCGCACTAAATACCTTCCCCAGCAGGTGTATCTTGCTAGAGAGATGTGATGAAGTTCTGCTTTGTTTATTGTTTTTGTTGTTAATGAGGTTAATGACGGTGGTGGTGTTGCAGCCCGGCAGCTCGCATACGGATGCGGGACGCATGCAGGAGTGGAATGCCCACTGCTTGAGGAGCGGCCTGCGCGGCCCGGTGCTGCTGCTGCTGTTTGCTGTGGTCTTCCCACATCATAGAGGGGCCTGGGAAGCAGAGCTGGGGCTCGGCCCTGCTGTGCGGGCGCTGCTTTCTCCTGTAGCCCGGGATGGTTTGCAGCTCCAAGCCGTTACTGACAGCTTTACGCTTCTGTCCGTTTTTCCAGGAAGCGCGACGTCATGCAGAACATTATGCAAATCTTGGAGTCTGTCCAGTTGAAGTGGGAGCTGTTCCAGAGCTGGACGGACTTCTCCAGGCTGCACCTCTCCAACAAACTGGCCATTTTCGGCATCGGCTACAACACGCGCTGGAAGGAGGACATTCGCTACCACTACGCGGAGATCAGCTCGCAGGTGCCGCTGGGCAAACGGCTCCGGGAGTATTTCAACTCGGAGAAGCCGGAGGGCAGAGTCATCATGACCAGAGTGCAGAAAATGAACTGGAAGAACGTGTACTACAAATTCCTGGAGATCACCATCAGCGAAGCGAGGTGCCTCGAGCTGCACATGGAGATTGACTGGATACCCATCGCTCACTCCAAGCCGACGGGAGGCAACGTCGTCCAGTATTTATTGCCCGGGGGCATCCCCAAAAGCCCGGGTCTGTACGCCATCGGCTACGAGGAGTGCCACGAGAAGCCCCACTCGCCTCTGGCCGAGCCGCGGGGCGCCGATCCCAGCCATGAGACTCCGGGGGAGCTGGAGGCGCCGTCGCCGCAGGCCTCGCTGCGGGTGGAGATGGAGTCCGCCCGCATCATCTACTGTTACCTCGGCATCGCTGAGGTCAGGACTCTCCAGCAGTGCCTGTTTTTACATTTTCAGGCAAACACCAAAACCTTCAGCAAAGAGTGGGTTGGGATCAACGCGTTTTTATCTCAGAACTGCGTCGTAGAGCCCGGGGTCTCCCCAAAATCCATCTACATCAAATTTGTGGAAGTGGAGAGGGATTTTCTTTCCGCTGGCTCTTTGGTAGAGTGCCTGGAAAAAGCCATTGGATACCCCTTAAAATTCAACAACTGAATCTCGTCCTTCATAAGGACTGCGGCTTCTGCCCGTTTCCCATCTCACCGTCGGACGCTGATGGATGCTGCGCACGGCCGGGAGGCGAAGGCGCTGCTCAGCAGCGTTTGAGGGGGGCTGCTGGGCCGTGGAGCAGCGCGGGGCGACGAGGGCAGCCTGAGCCCTGCCCCTACATCCCATACATTCCATGTCGGACGGAGCGGACGTTTCATACGAAAAGCTGTTTTCCACAAGGTCTCATTTTTACACATCCGTCTCTATAAGTGTTATTACAGATCTGAATAAATAAGCAATAGATAACGGCGAGTTAAATCTTGAATCACGTTAAAGGAGACTGTTTTTCAAAGCCACCCTTAGATACTATTGTATATAATTTAGAAATTCACTTTTTTCACCCATCCAGTGTTCTCCTATCTCCAAACAGTGTTGCCTGCAAAGACTTTTGTTTCTGTGATGTATTCCACTTTCCTAGTAGTGTTGCCATATCCGCTTTTATTTTATTTTATTTTATTTTTTAACATTAAAATAATTCCCGGGCTTTTATTATTTTTATTTTTATCGGTTTATTTTTTCAGTTCTAGTTAGCCTCTTTGTGAGAATAACCTGGCAGCTGGGGAGCATTCTGTCAAACCATGCTTATGGGTACAATCAAAGCTGTGAGACGGGGGGGGGGGGGGGGGGGGGGAGGGGCGGGGGGGCCTGGGGGCACGCGGGCCGGGAGGAAGATTTGGAAGCCTTTCAGAAGTGTCGCTATGTGTGCCCCATCACCGCGCTGGCTGGCGCCGGCGTTTCGGTTTCCTGAAGCTCATTGATCAGTGGCGTTGTGGCATACGATGAATGTGTCAGTCCTAATAAAATCGAGCAAACGCGCACCGGCTCCTGGAGGCGTCTTTCTCCTCTCGGGGCGGCCGCCGTTCCGCCCGTTCCGTGGGGACGGAGCCTCCCTTCTGTCGGCCGCCAGCACCCAGCAGTGCCCGCTGGGCCTCCGTCCTGACGCCCGGGACCTGGCGCCGCTGTGCAGCGGCGAGGAGCGATGGCGGACGCGGCCGTGCTGCCGTCCCCGCAGG